CCGGTTTACATCTGTTGCCATTTTTTTACATACAGCTTAATCCAGTGACGACACAACTTGGCCCCCTCTGGCTAGAAACTATGCTGTAGATTGGCATGTGCTAGACTGGCTTGTCGGAGGGCTAAACCTAGAAGTGTCATATCACAACTTGGCCCTCTATTGACTAGCCTTTCGTTCTAGGCCCACAGATGTGACGTCACATTTGCTAGCTTTTCATACCAGGCCTAGAGGTATGACGTCACAAACTAGCCTCCCATTCGCTAGGTTTTAGTTCTTGACCCACAGGTGTGAGGTCAAAACTTGGCCGTCCTGTCGCCATAGATGTGACGTTACAACTTTGCCATCCACTGGCTGCTTTTAGTTCTAGGCCCGCAGATGTGATGTTGCAGCAAACCTGACCGATTCCTGACTGTGCTTGTAGGAACTATGGGACCACAAATGAGATATCACAACTTGGCCGTCTCTTTACTAACTTCTAGGAAACACTTCAGGCCCACATTTATAACGCCACAACAAACTGGCTTTTTGGTTGTGTTTGTATGAACTATAAACACTCATACGTGATGTCACAGTAGCATTTACCATAGCTTGATTGGCTTGCATTGCGAGAAAGAAAAAAATCATAACGTTCAACAAGCATCCCCAAAGGGGGAGCTTTAGTTTATAATTGTGGCAAGGTTATGTGTGATTTGCCATCGCCTCTCTCCCTAGCTTTTATGGTTCTAGGCCAAATGATGTGACATCACGACAACCTGGCCGCCTCCTGGCTAGGAGCTGTGCTGTATAGATTAAGCCAGTTGCTTGTCACGTGAACAGCTCCTGATAATTGGAGAGCTATTGATTGGACCGGTGTAGTTGGGATATACCAAATATCAGAGGTCGCTAGCACAAGTTTTATGTTTTAACTGTTTCTAAGATAATATACAACCCACCCCCGCCCACCCCGCCCCCCCCCCCCGTTTTGCCTCCACCCTCCTACACCGCTCTTCAGCCTTTGCATTATCACTTGCGTGCTCACACAAGAACACAAATACACGCGCGCACACACCATAGTTCAGATAATTTCTTTGTTTCCCACCCCTCTCTATCCCCTCCCCCCGCCTCCCCCAAAGAAATCAAAATATTGTTCATGTGGTGCGGATTTCTTCTTTTCTTCTTCTTCTCTTCTTATTTTTCTTTCTTCTGCTTCCTCTTCTTCTTCTTCTTCTTCTTCTTCTTCTTCTTCTTCTTCTTCTTCTTCTTCTTCTTCTTCTTCTTCTTCTTCTTCTTCTTTTTCTTCTGCTTTTCTAGGCCCTACAAGAGCATACGCCTTCAACCAACTCTCGCCAAGTCGTTTAACTTTTGTTATCGCATGCAGCTCTTTCCAAGTCCTCCCCATCTTCTTAACTTCATTCTCCACCTCCTTTCTCCATGTGTTTTTGGTCTACCTTTATTCCTTTGCCCATGTGGTTTCTGGTGGAAAGACATAGTTATATTGTTCTCCGGTTCTCAGTCTTTTCTTCACCTCCTGGTCCACTGGCGCTTGCTTAATTCTCTACCAAAGCTCTTCATTAGTGATTCTACTAATGCAGTGTAACTTTTTATTCTGCCTGTGTTTTGGTGATACACCGTTACATAATATTGAATGAAACCTTGAACAGTAAGGCTGGATTCCTACCAGACACGTGGTAGTATATAGTAAATATACATTAAAATGTATGTATTATAAAAAAAGAAGTAAAGGTCTTTTTTCACGCCGGCGGTACATTTGGCACCTGATGCTAGACGCATATATACACCGACCCTCAAAGGGTGGTATGGTCAGTATCACGCCGGCCGCCTTTATTTCCCAGGACTTTACTTTTACCCATTTAAGGCTTGGTGTACCTGGCATCCAAGATCATGAATGAATGAAATCCGGCTTCATGGGGATTTGAACCCACAGATTATGCCAGTTACTTGGATCTATAGGCGAGCGTTTAGCCGCTATACTACGACGGCTCTTATGTGTACATGTTGGCAGTATATAAGTTGGGGATAAATGGAGAAGGCAAATGATGGAGCTCTCCTTCTTCTCCTCACTCTCCATGTACCTCATCCAAGAATTGGAAGAAATAAAGGCCAGGAGGGATGAACAAGATGTTTCTATATGCTCTTGTTAATGTGGTGCAGAGGTTGACTTTCTTTTCCTGAACTGTTCTTGAAGCTGTTGCTACGACTTCTGTGTTGCCTTTTCCGTGCTCTGTGTTAATTATATTTATTTAACGTCTCTCTCTTCTCTCTCTCTCTCTCTCTCTCTCTCTCTCTCTCTCTCTCTCTCTCTCTAATATATATATATATATATATATATATATATATATATATATATATATATATATATATATATATATATATATATATATATATATATATATATATATCTCTCTCAAGCAGTTGAGACCGTGACTTGATCGTTGGATGGCGCAACATCTTACCTGTTGTTTTTTATCAACTAACTATGTCACTGTTTTCAGTTCGTCTTTTTCTGATTTTGTCGTTTTGAAACTTATTACGATACACCGGACGACAGAAAATTCATATCAGACATAGGCGCTTGTTCTTGGGGGAGGGGGGGGAGACACATCGACGCCCCCTCCCCGCACAAAAACATTAAAGGTTGGGGTGGGGAAAGGGGGGGGGGGGGGGAGATCCCGCTCTCTAGAAATTTTGTAAGGGATCTCAGTGGTCCCCTAATCGTAAATGTGTCTACAGTCTCTTTTAAGTATTTGTCTTTAAAAAAAAATTGCAACATTAAACAGCATGTTAACAGGACACACACACACACACACACACACACACACACACACACACACAAACACATATATACACGCACATAGAGATAGAGAGAGAGAGAGAGAGAGAGAGAGAGAGAGAGAGAGAGAGGGCGATACAGCAGATAACATAAAACATATTAGAGTAAACGCTTGATAAGAAAACATTTGACAGCTCTGCAGACGATGCCACGCTTCACTGAAGGATGGGTGCACCGTGGCGTTCGACTAGCAAGAGACACGTTGTTTTAGCCCTCGGGCAGGCATCTGCGCCTTGTAGAGCAATGCAATCGAATTCGTTTGCCTGTTTTATTCGACTTTGGCTTTTAGTGTAAGCTATCACGTGTGACAGTTTTGAGTCGTCCCCCCCCCCCCCCCCCCTTTTTTTTTTACCCCCTTTCTCCCGCCTTTTTAATGGTAGTAATGAATTGTGTAAATTCAAACGTGCATACCCCTTCCTCCATATTTCACCAAAGCAACTACCGTCCCATTTGATTTTGCCGATGTGCCCCAGGGGGTGATATCGTGTATGGCCTATATGAACGACAGCAGCTAGTCTATGAGGCTTGTAATTTTCCTGCACACCTGCATTTCCTGATTATATAATTTAAAATATTATAGTTAAATTAGTCCAGCCAAAGGTACAGGCCAGTTTGTATTTCGTCTGCTTTATTAATTTGACAGATACGTATCCACCTTGTCTATTTGATAAATCTGACACATACATTTTCTCTACTTGATAAGTTTTAACACATACATTTCTGTCTTGTTTGCTGTTTGCTTGATTAATTTGACACATCCATGTTTTTTCTTGCCTACCTGATGAATTTGACACATGCATTTCTTCCATATTGTTTGCTAAGTGAATGTGACACATACACGGCTAACTTGTCTGCATGATGAGCTTGACACACACGCGTTTCTGTTTGATTTAAAAGCTCGACACATAACATTTCTGTCTTGTCTGGTGAATTTGGCACAAACACTTCTATCCTGCGCTCTTGTAGATATTGCGAAATACCAGATCTACGAGCACAGTTGAAATGTTTACATGAAGATATGGGAAGTGAATTAGCTTCCTCCGGCTTTCCCCTGTCCTCATGATCATACGACATCTTCCTGGTTCTTAGGGCGGTCGCATCCTCTAATCAGGCCGTGTAGCACATCCGACTTGCGATGTGTAGAATATAGCAGCAGCTTCAGTTGGGAAAACATAACAGTAGGATGTAGACTGATAGGAAACTGTCAGTTTTCCTCTGCCGACCTTCTTCATTCTTACTTTTCTTATTCCTTTTCTTTTGTTCTCTTTGACCTGTCTGGCATCTGGTGCTAGCCTTGGTGTGTGTGTGTTACATAGATGCTGGTATTCACGAACTCTGATATACCATCTAATCAACGTTTGCACGGCCGACCTCTAGATCTGCTTTCGTTGCGTCTGACAGGGCTGTCTGTGTTGCATTATCTCCTGGTTGTCTTTACACAGCACAGCTTAGTACAGCGACCTCGCGTGCGACCCGCCGTTTAAATGAGAGAGGCGGAGCCAGAGAAGATAAAACCTGGTGAAGTAATATTAATTATTTCGCCCTTAAACGCACTAGTATGTGGAATTTTGAATTAAGAATCGACATCACAGCACTCATGACACTCCCATAAGCGCTCCGTCCGCCATCTTCAGCAGCAAGCGAAGAGTTCCAATTCCGATGGTACCAGAAACTGTCTAATTATATCTCGCCTTTCCATAAAATGTTGAGCGTCGGCTAAATCCCATGGTAACTCCTCGTCGTGGTAAACATGTTCAGTGGTATTTTAGTTTCCCGCACGCTTTTAAGAATTTATTCTGTCAAATGAATAGAAAAATAAAGTAAGGGTTGAGTTAACACTTGAGACGTACTGTGTATATTGTATCAGCCCCAAATATGCACAGACAACCAGTGGGCGTTGCACTACGCTAGCCACATATGAATCCCATAAAATGGCAGTGTCCATTTTAGGTAAGGCACGCACGCGAGGCGAGACTTGGTCAGTTTGTGCGTGTGTGTGGTTTTTTTTTTCCCCATTGTTTCTTTGAAAGAGATTGGAAATCATAACCACCAGTCCCACAGACCGGCATGCTACGCGACTCCCTTGAGGAGATTTTCTCGTTCTGCTTGACTCCATAATCTTGTCATAGATTTCTGTCCAGGGTATTATAGCGAGACCGTTTTGTTTCAGGCCATGACTGGATTCCTTCTAGTCACGACAAGAGAAGGAAAGTTGCTCTATATCTCGGAAAACGTCACAGACTACCTGGGACACTCTATGGTACGTTGTTTGTGGTTGATTTTATTGATGGCTTGCTCTAAATGTACTGACTGTTGATTCGTTTTCCGTTCGTGCTATCTGTCGGTGTTGTTGGATAATTAGTAGTTAACAATCTGGAAGGATACTAAGTTTGTAGCATGTGCGAGACATGTGGTGGTCTGTCAGGCAAGCCTGTCAATGAGACTCACAAAAGAGGGCAGATAGCACGTTGAAAGTCGCATAAGTGTCTTCATAAAGAGATATTCATTATAGAATCTTTCTTTTTTCTCTTCCTTCCTTCCTTCCTTCCTTCCTTCCTTCCTTCCTTCCTTCCTTCCTTCCTTCCTTCCTTCCTTCCTTCCTTCCTTCCTTCCTTCCTTCCACATTTGTTTTTCATTTGTCCACGCTGAGATGTTTAGCTGTAATTTTATCAATTCTGTAGTTACATTCATCGGTCACCATATACAAGTCCTTTGTTCTAATCGTTAAAGTTCTTAAAAAATTGGAGACATGTTCCTTCTATATCTTCCCGCCCACTAAGATCCTGATCACGGGTGTAATGCAGTGGATTCTAGGTCACTGTGGCTTGGAAGGCAATGAAATAGCGGACAGATTGGCCAGAAGCGGCAGTGACATGGTACAACCAAATAGTGACTTAACCCACCAAGAAACGAAAACATTAATAGAATCTAGTATCCAAGAAAGGTGGCTGGATACACACACCAGATTTTCTCCCCAAGACTCACTTTATCGCCTCTAGAGAGGGACAGTGTATTATATTTAGACTAAGGACTGGGCACAAAAGGCTTCGTCAACATATGTTCGAATTTTTCGGTGTAGGAAACATGGAGACATGTCCCTGCAGCAGACCTGTCGTTGAAGTGTGGTACTGGAAAATGCTGAGCATGTGCTCCAACACTGTCAACTGTATGCTGACAACAGAGACTCAATCTGACCTGTTTCAACCACAATGAAGACAAAGCTGTATGATACACGAGAGGATATTGACTGCACGATAGCTTTCATAAAGGCTACCGGCCTCCTAATATAAGTTTTCTGACAGAAGGATCGGAGGAGCAGAAGAAGAAGAAAAAGAGGGATAGAATCTTGTTATTACATTCCTCAGTTTTAGGATAAGCGCACGCTCAGCTTGCTGTTGTATAAGTAAAGGAAAAGACCCTTTACAGGACTTGAAGACCATTGTGCCAGACCTATATTTATACTTACCATTGCAAACCCATTTATATACATACTATGCCAGACCCATATTTATACATACTATGCCAGACCCATATTTATACATAGCATGCCAGACCCATATTTATACATACTATGTCAGACCCATATTTATACACACTATGCCAGACCCATATTTATACATACTATGCCAGACCCATATTTATACATAGCATGTCAGACCCATATTTATACATAGCATGTCAGACCCATATTTATACATACTATGCCAGACCCATATTTATACATAGCATGTCAGACCCATATTTATACACACTATGCCAGACCCATATTTATCCATAGCATGTCAGACCCATATTTATACATAGCATGTCAGACCCATATTTATACATAGCATGTCAGACCCATATTTATACATAATATGCTAGACCCATATTTATACATAGCATGCCAGACCCATATTTATACATACTATGCCAGACCCATATTTATACATAGCATGTCAGACCCATATTTATACATTCTATGCCAGACCCATATTTATACATACCATGCCAAACCCATATTTATACATATCATGGCATGCCAGACCCATATTTATACATACCACACCGTGCCAAACCCATATTTATACATACCACACTATGCCAGACCTATATTTATACATACCACACCGTGCCAAACCCATATTTATACATACCACACCGTGCCAAACCGATATTTATACATACCATATCATGCCAGACCCATACGTGTACATACCACACCATGCATTTAAACACCATGCCAGACTCATATTTATACACACGGTCCATCAGTCCGTTTAAAAAAAAAAGCTCTATGACTTTATACACACAATGCCAGACCCGCATGTATACATACCATGCCAGCCCATATTTGTATATTTAAAAAAATCAAGGTACCATGAATTGTAAACCCTTTGGTTGGGTACTATGGTTATCGCAACCCTTCGGCCTTGATTCCATGATTTCGTAAATCTGGGAAATATGTGGCTTTTCTGCCTACCCCCGAGCGTAAAATAAGGACCACAGGGAGTTTGTCACCAGCTCTCTGCGCACCTGGTTTAACCAACCAACTGAGCTTGCGCGCTGGGAAATACATACTATGCCAACCGTAGTAAATTGAATACATTACTTACCGCATTACTCACAAAATACCGCTCTGTCAAGATAATATGAGAGTGGCCATATACATGAATTGCAATGAATTTCACGGTTTCATCACCCATAAGTGCTGCTTGTCATGGGAATACGAGTCTAGCATTACGTACCCACTCACTATTCTATGATTCCTTTGGCCACAATAGGTTGACATGAAGACCCAGGGAGACAGCTTGTACGACATAGTTGACAAGAGGGACCACGGCACAGTGCAAGCACAGTTGATGCACAGTGGGTCCCAGCCAGACAAGGACACGCCTTCCAGGGATGTTTCCTTCTTTTGTCGCATGAACATGTCGAGGACGTTGAAACGCCAATCTGGTTTTGGGGATGTCAAGGTAAGCTGTGATCTCTCTCTCTCTCTCTCTCCTCTCTCTCTCTCTCTCTCTCTCTCTCTCTCTCTCTCTCTCTCTCTCTCTCTCTTTCTATGTCTTTCCCACCCTCCTCCCTTTCTCTCCACTGTCCTTTTTGCTCTCCCTCACTCCTAACCCCTCTCTCCCACGCTCCTTTCTCTCTCCCTCTGTTTCCTTTCCCTTTCTTCTATCGCTTTTTCCTATCTCTTTCGCTCTCCCTTTCTCTGTTTCCCTTGGGCCCTTCTGACCTCCCATTCTCTTTTTACCGTTGTTATGAAATCAGTGTTTATCATTGTCAGTCACTGTTTATCATTGTCAGTCACTGTTTATCATAGTCAGTTGGTATTTATCATTGTCAGTTGGTGTTTATCATTGTCAGTCAGTGTTTGTCATTGTCAGTCAGTGTTTGTCATTGTCAGTATCAGCCGTATGTGTGGTATGGAGCTGCCCAACCAATATCGTGTGTTCACTATCTGTCTTTTCTGTAACTGACAAGTTTAAAACAAAACAGAAGTTTCCCTCCTACCTGATCGATTCAAAGGGGGGATTGGTGCATATCTTCACATAAAGGCGAAAATATATGAGCTGCATAATGCATCTATTGAAACTTATAGACAGTCAAAATTTGCAAGAAAAAGGGGGTCTGAATTTACTGTTGCCTGAGAGAGAAAAGAAAAAAGACACACAGAGAGAGAGAGAGAGAGAGAGAGAGAGAGAGAGAGAGAGAGAGAGAGAGAGAGAGAGAGAGAGAGAGAGAGGAGAGAGATTTCTAACCCATATGTGAATGAGCTAGAAAGTTTCCTAGCTAGTTACTGAGTTGATTGTTAAATTGACGTTGGTGCCACAGGGTAACTACCAGATATTTTCCTAAGGGTGTGTTTACAGTCATATGTATATTTTTACTGTGGTGTTCTAATAAACGCAATACCAGTTTTTGTACCTAATGACCCGACAACAGCAGTTGTAAGTGTATTAATAATACAGTCAATAGTGGGGTCTATTTAAAAAAAAAAAAAAACATGTACTAGGGTTTGCAATGCTTCAGATTTCTGTTGATTCATAAAGTTTGAGGATGTGCAGAAGAGGCCATTGACGCATTGTTTCCGTGCCAGGCCTGCCCGGACTGACGGCAAACTCTGGGGAAATACTAGATGTGGGGAAATACTAGATGTGTTCACTACGTTGGCAGATAACGGAAGAAATGCTGATGGACAGGGAAACAAGTGTCTCTACTAAATATGGCATACATTTGGATAGTGTACAAGCGAGTGCAATTAAGGTCGTGATAATGTTGGATGGGTCGTAAAAATATTTCCGTAAATCGGCAACCAAATATAGAGGTGTTGGGTAACTAGAGGTGACAAGAGAACTGGGAGATTTCTAAAAAGAAAGTGAAATATATAGTAGAAATTCGGAGACTTAACACTTTTATGAAAACTACCGTGGTTTGTATGATGTGGAGTAAAGGGTGTTAAGGCGGCCAACAAGAGGTAGAAAATGATACCAGTAGGAAGATAACATAAGGAGGTGTATAAACAGCGAGATAAACGTTTATTAGGGAGACAACCATTTTTTTTAATTATGTAGACAAACAAAGCTGTCAGTCAGATCGTATTACATTTAACACAAGTTTATAGTCAGATGTGCATCTTCGACTTCTGCTAGGTTCCTGCAGCATGAGGTAACCAGTGTTACACCAGACCTTTTCAGTCGCCTCTTTTGACATGCCTGCTGGACTTCAGTTTTCTGTTCTTCACTTCAGTTTTCTGTTCTTCACTTCCCGAGCATTGGTAGCCGATGTCTAGGGTTCAGATCCGCATTCAGGCGGATTTCCTTTACCCCTCCCCCCTCCCAAGTTGATCTTTGCCCCTAAAGTCCACCCAGTCTAAATTCGGTACCTGGTAATAAGATCGGAAGTAAAAGCGGCGTTGCTGATGTTGACTATATCATCCATCTACTGAGTTATGAATTTTGTGGGTGTGTGTCTGTGTCGCCGCTGTTTTGTGTTATAAGAGACTATAAATGGCACACATTCACACACAGAGAGACACTCGCGCGCACGCACGCACTCACACACACACACACACACACACACACACACACACCGGCTGACTCAGTAAACGTTGGCCCTCAAGTTTAAGAAGCTGAACCCGGATACAGAAACCCGCATTGGGACAAGAGGAGACACACACACAACACTCAACTGATCTCATACATGACACGGCACATCGCACTGTTAACACCGACTTCGCACTTTTCAAGCTTCCATACGTATATGCACATATGACTTGAGTCATAGCCAAATTCAGTTATCTGTCTATGTAGATTACTCAACGACCACTTATCCGTCCCCTCTACTTAGAGACACTCCCTCCCCTCACCAACCCAACCCCGTAAATATATGTATGTTCGGAACACGTAACGTTAGTCTCCCCAGGCCCCGCCCATATACACACTAGCTTACTTCTGATTTATGGTTCCTGAGCACTGTGCCTTCGCGCAAGGTCAGAGAGGTGTTCCGCGATGCCGGTGATGTCGCATGTTTTATATTTCAACACGCCAGCGCTTTTAACACTCCAAACACACGGAGAAACTGACCCTAACACAACCCCTATAGAGAGTCCTGCAACCTATGTCACAGGCATCCTCTTTCTTAGAATCAAACGTAAATGCAAGACTACGCAGAAAGCAAACAACAGAGCAGGACACACCTGTAACCTTCAGGAAAGTTGACTAGCCTAACAAACTTGTGAATGGGTGGTGTGTAATATTGTCATCATGGTGTGTAATATTTTTGACAAATGGAAACTTTTAAGTTACTGTACACTACACTACTTAGATGGGTCGTTAATTCTGTTATATTTTCCCCCCTTCGTCATCTTATCACAGCCCCTTCTCCTGTTATCCTCTTTCTGTTATCCTTCTCCTTTTTTATTATGTATGCGAGTATGTGTGTATGGATGGATGGGTGGGTGAATAAATGAATGGATGAATGTTTTTATCTAAGACTAGATTTGTCCGGCTACGCCCAGGATGGTGAAAGAAAGTCTTATTCTACCTTCCTCTAACTCATCTTGGTCTCTCGCTGCCTTATATGTAAGCCTTGTGGAAATAGGGTTCTTTAGAAATCCTATAATTAATATCCCGTCTTCTACTTCATCTTTGTCCGTCTTCTTCTTCATCTTTGTCGCCACCGCTGCCGTATCTTTAGTCATTTGGCCCTAAGTACACTCGATGAATCCCGTGTTATATTAACACCAGTATTTAACAGTTTAGCAGACAGAGAAACGTATTGTTTTAGACACATATAGATATATGGTTTCAGGGAAGATAACAGTGTTTGTTAAATTTCGAGGAAAAAAATATTCAAATGGATATAACTCCAACGAAAGTTTACTTATATGTTCTGTAGTTTGTTGTGGTCTACCACATTGTCAACGCTAAGACCATTGTGGAAATCAGCACACCAAATAATTTGCAGCTGAATCAAACCCAATATTTTGCAGTTATGAAACTGCGTTCGTAGCTTATAAGCCACATGTGCCAACTAGGCCAACAGATTATGTTTATCACGGGTCTCTCGCAGTTAGCGTCCTCTGGATCTTTTCTCCGAGGGTTGGAGGTATTTAGGGATAACGAACAGGGTCGCAGACTGGTGCTGCATCACTGGATAGTGAATTTTTACGTGGCAAGCCAGATGTGGCCAAGGTCTTTGGGTGCTGGAGCTGGCCGTGAGTATAGGTAAACTATTCAGAAGCGTGGGTAGATCATTACGGTTTGGAGATAGTGGTGCATCCGTGAGTAACCAGGGCATCTGGCCGACATTCTACACTCAAAAGAAAGGCCAGACGGACATATAACCAGACTGCTACTAATATCACCGGCATTGGAAATCTTCGCTGGATGCTGAAGATGAGGACAGTACGCTTATGGGAATGTCCCGAGTGCTTTGATGTCGATTCTTTCCTCAGCTCAACTCAGCTATCAAGGGTCAAGTGTAAAGTACGTCACCACTAATTGTTCTCGGCAACTAACAGATTATTTGCGCAGAAGATGCAAAGCAAACATTAATTTTCTTACCACCCGCAAAGTAAGGGGTTTGTGATTATGCCTACACTTACGTGGGAGTACATGTTTTGTTTCGGGTACACTTACGTGTGAACATACTAACTTACACAAATGTTTGATGGTGAATGCTAATTTCAGTAATATCCCGAGAAAATAAATGGATTTTCCCTCCAACGCTCAGAATTAACGCTCTATAGATATGTGTGTCGATGGTAGGATTGATTTGAGATATCCTCTCTTTGAAGTCTAGATCCGTTTCAGGAACATATTGATGCGTTGTCTGGTAATGAAGCTAACTCGGATTACGGTGTTAGCCAGCCAGGGCACAAGCCAGAGCACTCAGCACAACGATAGCACTTCTTCAAGGACGGCCGTATAGTGAGCTGCATTGATTATGTGCTAGCTAGCTAGCTCAGTGCGCCTCGCCCATAATAGGCTTCCCATTGCAGTCTTAGGAGAAGACAGTTATTGATACCATATTTGGGAGCTTTTGTTTTTTCCAGAAACGATAACACTGTGAATACTACATAATGTTACTGGCGGCAGTTATCGGGACTGTCGAGACAGTAAAGCTGTTAAAGCTGTCTTCTCATTCGACATGACTGAAGCGGTTTTAACTACACCTGGTTACATTAACATTAACACTTATGGGCTGACGCAGTCGGTCACGGGAGACTTGACATTGCTAGAGCGATGTCGGCTCTCAAGTTGTGATTGTGTAATGTTTGCAGTAGATGTTGTAATACTCATTTGGTGTTTTTAGAAGCTGCGGATGGGTACTTTTATTGAAGAATTATCCCAACCATGCACATAAAGTACACTTTAATTTCCTGCAAGAGAAACCAGCTTCGGAAACCAAAAGTACGGATGCTAGACAATTTGGCATCAAGCTTTGATGATTTAGGATTGTGCAATGA